ACGAGCTGAGTTGTTACCCAGTATTCAAGAAGAATTACGAGAATTTCAACATGAGGCAATGAAGGAGGATAAGATCAAACAGGAAAGATTGGGTGGATTAATATCTGATTTGATGAGAAATGACAGAGAATTCTGGAAATTTCAGAACAGAATTTGGGTACCATGCTATGGTGATCTTAGGAAACGAATTTTGGGTGAGGCTCATAAGTCACGTTTTGSAATTCATCCAGGTACAAATAAAATGTATCGGGATTTGAAACAATATTATTGGTGGCCAGGTATGAAAAAAGATATTGCTAAACATGTTGAGCAATGCTTGACATGTCTCCAAGTAAAGATTGAACACCAACGTCCTTATGGTAAGTTACAATCTTTAGAAATTCCGGTGTGGAAGTGGGATCATATCACTATGGATTTCATAACCAAATTGCCGAGAACATCGAAAGGTTATGATGATATATGGGTGATAGTGGATCGGTTATCCAAATCTGCACATTTCTTACCTATGAAAGAATCTTATCCAATGGAGAGATTGGCAAAACTATACATGATGAGGTAGTGACACGACATGATATTCCTCTGTCAATTGTTTCTGATAGGGATAGTCGGTTCACATCCATGTTTTGGAAGAGTTTCCAAAGAGAAATGGGTTCTCAGATTAAGTTAAGTACATCTTATCACCCTCAGACTGATGGACAAAGTGAACGAACCATCCAAACTTTAGAAGATATGTTGAGAGCATGTGTCATTGATTTCGAAGGATCATGGGATAGTCATTTGGCTTTGGTAGAATTTACGTACAACAATAGTTATCATTCAAGTATTCAGGCAACACCTTTTGAGGTTCTGTATGGACAAAAATGTCGAACTCCTTTGTGTCGGAATGAAATAGGTGAAAAACAGTTAGTTGGACCTGAGTTAGTTCAGCAAACTGCAGATAAAATTGGAGTAATATGGGAACGGATGAAAATGGCACAAGATAGACAAAGAAGTTATGCAGATAAACGTCGGAAGCCAATTGAATTCCAAGAAGGTGATAGAGTGATGTTAAAGGTATCATCTTGGAAAGCAGTGGTACGTTTTGGAAAAAGAGGAAAATTAAGTCCAAGATATATTGGACCATTCACTATTATTGGAAGGGTTGGGGAAGTGACCTACAAATTAGAACTTCCTCTGGAATTAAGTGGAATTCATGACACGTTTCATGTGTCAAATTTGAGGAAGTGTCTAATAAGTCCTCATGTGGCAATACCATTACCTGAGATTAAGGTAGATGAGAGATTATGCTTTGAAGAAACCCCTGAACAAATTATTGACTACAAGGTGAAGAAACTACGAAATAAAGAGGTTGGATTAGTAAAAGTTCAGTGGCGTTATCATAAAGGACCAGAGGCCACTTGGGAATCGGAGTCTGAAATGCGAATGAAGTTTCTTACCTTTTTGCTTAAATGGAATTCCGGGACGGAATTCTTTTAAGGAGGGAATGTTGTAATATACGGGTTTCAAGTTTTGATTTAAGATTTTTGGAACGAATATAT